CATTCTGACAATGTCAGTGATGTTTGGTAAAGAAAAAGGAAGGCAATAATACGATATAAAATATTTAAACTATAAAAATACAACACGATTGAATTCGTAAGGAAATAAATGAATAACTACCCAAAACTTTCTTCACCACACAGCGACAAACGTCCAGCATCCATTAAATTTCCAAAGTACTTCTAACCAGTAGGTACTTCGAACAGTTCAACATTCAATTTAGCAGCAACTCTAAAAATAAGAAAGGAGAAAAACAGCGTTGAAATAGATAGCGGTCGCGATGTATTTGCACATTATCTACGACTTTCATTCGCCAAACATTCGTCGAGAGTTCATTGCACTCGTGCTTACTTATCAATGGCGGCACCGGTCGGCATACTACGAGCTACTCCTTTGATACCAGTTTTCTGGAAGTACGGAATGCTGTTCAGATGATTTCCAAGAATCGCAACTGAATCACTAGGCGTGACAAAGAAAGCTTTAGCTCCCAGAATCATATTACGATCCTACAACAAATAAATAAATCGACTAATAAACAAACAAAGAATTGAGGTAGAAAAGAAACCGAAATACTGCAAATGTTTGGATAAAGAATGAGAAACTATAAATCAGAAAAACTATTTACGAAGCAAATCTGGCCATTTTCAAATTTTTCCATCCCATGAATGTGAATGAATGTACAAAGACAAGTGATTATTACGATTTTGCTCGTTGAATTATTTTCATTTAATCCCACAATCAAATCCCACCCTCTGCACGTAAGGAGACCCTCGTAACTCCTAAGGGTAAGACAACAAAAGTCTTTTTTCTATCAAATTTCTAACCACGTGACTTAAAATCCAGGGGAAAAATTTAGACCAACTCTCTGCGTGGAGTTCAAAATAGCATTTCTCTCGATATAGAGCATTCTGATACCAGTTAATAAGAATAAGGCAAACAAAGCATGAATGCAGGGAGCAGCCATTAAATCAATACACACCTAGGTGTAGCAAAAAGATGATGTTTTGGCTATAGCCGGATACATTGTCATCAATACCTCCTCCTGCACGAGCATCTATGCTACTCAAAATTCTTAAAGAAATTTAATCATATTATCACAAGGTAACTTACTCCATCTCCGTCGAAAGCAGCGCCAAAATCAAAATCGCTGTTTCGTAAGTTGTCCACCAAATCAGCTGCATACGTTAAATTTGGATCTGGATGACCACCTCCAAAATCAGGCAGCGGTGTGATTTTGATAGCGGAGTTTACTGGAGCTCCAAGTTCGTCGAGGAAGATACGTTTCACATAGGGTCCAGTCACTATAGAATTGAACAGCGAATGTAAGTGAATTTAATAAAAAAATTATAATGAGAGAAAACAATATGAGATAAGTACCAACCGCCATGCATTGAATTGATAAGTACACGGAAGGGTTTCGTTGCATCAGAACTGAGAAGATTCTTGAGTTTGGGAAATCAAAAATACTTTTCATCAACTCTAGGTAATCATTGACGAAATCAATAATTTCGACGACAAATTCTTTGCCATTCACCTGTAGAATGGAAATTCAGCAAAATTTTAAGAAGGTATTAGAAGAAAATGGTTATTTCTGGAAAAGTACATAGTCAATTCATAAAATAAATTACGTCTTAGAAAATTGGGATTGAAAATTTCACCACAAGCTATACTTAATCTTTAATGAAAAAGGGGTGTCATCTAGATTCTTTCATACTTATTGTCAATATTGTCGGGGGCCTGAAAATACCTACCTCCTATGTGCAAAAAACGAAATTGTGCAGGGGAGAAAAAAACTGTCTACAATTTCCAATTTGTCACAAAAATGGTTGGAAAAATTTCTTGAATGTTAGTTGATGATATGAACTACGGATTTTCGACATTTTTCCAACCATTTTTGTGACAAATTGAAAATTGTAGTTTTTTTGCTCCCCTTCACAATTTCCTTTTTTGCACATAGGATGGTTATGTTAACAATTTTTTACATTTATTTTTTAGTAATAAATTAGACTAGCAGAAAAAAAGGAGAGATAAATGATTCAGTCATTTTCAGCAATCATCGGGACGATGAATAATGAACGGATGAATATTACTTTGAATAAAGTGAAAAAACTCTAGTATACTGAAGTTTCGTTTCTCAAAAGCTACATCAGAGAGTTTGTCTCGTAACCCAGTCAACTATGAGACTGTAAGGAATAGACAGACTAACTCAATATGGAAGCTGGCATAAGTTGAAAACAATATTATCGAGCAACAGAAACAGTCACATGCTGCTAAATGAAGACCGATTCGAATCATCGAGACCAGTATCGTGTACGTAGAACCAACGTAAATTTACCTCGAAATTATTCACTCCAATAGTGTCTATGTCACAGGTTAAATCTGGAACAATGGAGTAGTTTTTGATCTGGGTTGTCAATTCGTAAATGGCGTTAGTAACACTATCAGGAGCCGGACCTAAAAGAATATACAAAATAATTGATTTGTTGACCAATAACAATATTATATGTCACAAAATTCAATACAAGGTTGCAATAAGTTGAACTTGGAAATGTATGAGAAGTCGTTCAACTCTCAAGAGCAAGTGCATGTAGCTTTAGGGCTGCAATACCGGAAAATAAACGGTATGGGAAATGGTAAAGTAACTAACAAAGTTGCAGAAACAACATATTTGTAGAAAAAATAATAGAAATAATGAAAATATTCATTGATACTAATAACATAACGAAAACAGACACATTATGAAGATAGGTATACTATTTTTAGAAAACCTTCAATAACATTCTATTGACAAGCACTTTACAAACAAAATGAGAAACAAAAATTGACGTGATATTACATTCATCTTTGAAAATTGCTGCATGGGGAAATCCAATATGGATATGATATTTGAACTAATATGGAATTTTCTCAAGTACTACATCAATAGGAAAAAAATAATAATATTCCTTTTCAATTCCATTGAAAAAGTAAATAAGCCCCGAAATTCAACGTCTTCACTCTGTTCTTTTTGCCACAAAAACAAACACCGGGTTAACATAATTGACCCCATGTTTGGAAATGGTGTTCTTTTTAGCTCCTTGGATGTCATGGTATCTCTTGAGTTATTCTTTTTGCACATTCAATTTTTTTTGGTGTTTAAATTGTGAGAAATTGTTTTTTATTTAATACTGTATGTACTTCAAAAATGGTTTCAGAACAAATAAACCCAAAATGAAAAGACTTCGAAACGTTTTTTTTTTTGTAAGATATTCTTCCACTGAAATATCCAACATCAACCTAATCCTCACCTGACACTTTTGACCCAACTTAAATTTGGCGTTAACCCGGGATTTCATCTTTCGTGGCAAAAAACACACAGCTACTGTTGGTTGAAAGCATGTATTACATCAAAGATTGCCGAAATTGGAACCACTATGGCACGTGTACCTCAGAATTTTCAATATTCATAAAATTACTATATCATATTTGAGACTCATCTACATCAACTTTGACGATGTAAAGAACTACTATATC